GCGGAGTCCAGCCCGGGGTCGTCACACGTGGTTGCCGTAAGCCCGCCGGCTGCTCCTTTGTTGAATCTGCCGGCCTCTGCTCACTCTAGCCCTCCGGCCTCTGCTCGCTCAAGGCCGCTGTGTGTGACGCTGTGTTTCGTTATGAAAGCGAAACTACTTTGTTTGGTCTTCCAAAAGAGGACACGACTACAAATCAGTGGTATTTACAACACTGTTCCAGAACAGTTCAACCCAAATATTCAGATGTGTGCAGCACATTTTATGGAGGACTGTTTCCTGATCCTGGTAGAGTAGACTACAATGCCGGCTGTTCTGACTCTCAGACTGTAAGTAAGTTTTTTTTATATAAACAGGATTTGCCACTGATGATTCAAACACGAGTTTTGAGCAGTGTAGAGTAGCACTTGTTGTTTGTCATTTCTCCGATCACAAATGCAGACATGGTTTTATGTTTACGCGGCACGATGCAACGCGTAAAAAGACAGTATAAGTCATTATAATCCGGAATTATGTCCCCACTGGATGCAGCAAATGCCTCGTTTATAATGGGTTTTAATGTTTTCGTCTCGTCGCTCCGGCCGGACAGGGCATCATCACAGTATGGTAAGGGGCGTAACATTTCCGTCACACGCTTGAGGTTTTCGGCCAATCACAACGCTCTGGATAGCTGGCCAATCAGAGCACACCTCGCTTTTCAGACCGATGAGCTTTGTAAAAATCGACGTGTTTCAGAAAGGCGGAGCATAGAGGAGAAACAATAATGTACAGTATGTGGAAAATAATGTGGTTTTTTTTTTTACTTTAAACCGCACAAACACATTTCTTTACACCAAATAATGTTTTTTTAGCAGCATCATATGACCCCTTCAACCAAAAAAAGTTACGGACTGCAGCTTTAAAGTAAAGCTACCAGATGACCAATGGCTGACAAGATTATTTATAATGAACAGAGAATTTATTACCACTGATTCAGAACTAGATGAGATTTATTTCCAGTTCTCATTTCCCTTCTCAATTATTTATGACATCATAAAAGCATTTTCACAACAACATAAGACAACAGTAAAATACAAGGCATTTTTGTTTAATGCTTACAAGCAGGTGTCTGGCATTGAAGGAATGCTTGGTTGTGCACTGTATATTAATATGTCTGATTTCACATACTTAAGGCACTGCCCTGACCTACAAAAAAAAAAAAAGTAAGAAGAAAAAAAGAAACCGAAAACAAATGCAAACAGTACTCAAACATATACAGAAGCAGCGGTCCAACAATAAAAGGCCCAGTCTGACGAATATAGATTGTGAAGATAACAGCATTAACAAACAGGTTTTAAAGAGTAACGTTTTACTATTAATTCCTACATTAAGGTGCGATCACATTTTCCATTCAGCGAATTTTCGCGGGCGAAATCCAACAGTCCACAGACACACATTCGCCGCTCTGACCAACAGAAAGAGCCGAAAATTTGATTTGAAACCGATTTCTGTGTAAACATACATCCCTACACTACTGATAATTAATTAACATTTCTTATGCCCATGAAATTTCACTAATAACGTGACCGCACCTGTACAGAGGATTGCTGCAGTTTAACACTAAACCAGCAGCACATGTTTCAAGCATCAGTTCAACAAGAACACAACATGGAGAAATAAGGTAAATCAGAAGATCATTTATAAACCTACATGATCTAACCTGACTCTTGAGTGTCTTTACAAATGTAAAACTCTACTAAATGTTTCAGAGTAAAAGTAAAAAGAGTTAAAAAAAAAAAAGTTATTTTAGGTTAAGGTTTAGTAATACATGTGTACACAGTAGCAAGTGTTTGCAATGCAGAGCTTCTGTACACATTTAAATATTTAAAAGACCATTTACATTTGTCTTCAGTCACTGTTTGTTCTCCGTCTGCCCGGTTTTGCACTCATATTACAAACAACCTGGGCTTTATAACTCTCTTTATCTCAACCTTGCACTTCCCCCTCTGGGCACAGTTCTCTGAGAACCATAAAAAGCATTCATTTCATCTCAAAGAGGAGGAACGCCAATTTTGACTATTGTTAAAGTGCTTTATTCATGTAAAGAGTGTCTTCCTTAAACAAAAATGAAATTAAAGTGAAGGTGGAGGAAGAACTCTCCATCTAAAGAGGAATTTCACTAGAAAGAAGAGATTTTGACAATCCCCGACTCTCACATAGTATCATCCGTGGCAATCACTGAATTCTGGTTAGGGCTCTGTGTCGTTTACCCTGTGAACTGCAGTGATCATTCACCAGTAAGTAACCCGAATCCTCCTTTTTGCGATAAATAGAGAAACAAAAGGGCTACGTGATGATACTGTATGAACAAATACATATAATGCCTGCACTTGACCAAAGCACCACATGGGGACAGAAATCTTTTTAACAAAGAAATCAACAAACTGCATATGTAATAAACAGGCTTTAAATAGGTGATGGTGAAAGTGAATGTTACAGTCGATGACCGTTCAAGATCTGATTGGCTGTTGTCGATACTGGCGTCTTGAAGAAATGTTGCTCTTTCAGTTTTAAGTGCTCAGGCAGGTCCAGCTTTATCTTCACCTCCTCAATGTCACTATGAATCGCTGCTATCAACTCGTCTGGGAGGAAGACACAACCGTGAGTTACTGTAACAGAATGAGTGTGTTTGTGTGGGAGAACTGGGTGTTGTGGCGTCAGTGAGATCATGTGATGTGGGAGTAAGTTCAGCTCAATGTCTTACCAAGTGATTTGAATCCTCTCTCAGGGCGAATGTAGCCGACCATGGCCACACTCAACATCTGACCGTAGAAATCTTCCTTAAAAGTGTGGATCACATGCGTTTCCTGTTGCACAGAAAGATAAATGTGATATTTGTTAACAGACACAAGTCATACAAATCAACTATACCACTATTAAATAAGACCATTTGATGAATGCAACGATATCAGCTCTATAGCTTTTAGATGTTTGCACACTAGAAATATAGATATGGACGCACCATGGATTTCTTAGTGTTTTTGTAGTAAGGGTTCCAGCCGATGCTCATCACCATCTTGTGAATGTCTCCGTTATCCACGCGTGCCCATCCGTAATAGATACCTGTGCTAATGTCAGCGGGGAGATTGTCCACAACCGACTCTGGGAAGTTCGCTGAGATGGGAATGGAAAGAAAACATTAGATCTAGTAAGACTAAATACTGGCTTCGTGTTACTTTCCTTTATCAGAATATGTGCGTGTTTACATTTGAGACATGATATCTTCAGAGCTACAGATGTACAAAAACTTAAAGTAAGGGATAATATACAGCCATTTATTATCAGAGAATACTTTGCTACTTACCAAATAAAAAGACATGCACATGAAATAGATGTATTTTTAATTTTCTAGATTATGAGGGGGGGCTTTTACACAACATTCTTTTCAAGTAAAAACAGAAAGCATTTTGAAAACTTTTTAAAGGTTTTAAAGTGCAAGTTCTTGAACATATACAAAAATGTGAATTTGTGAAAATGGTTCACGAATGCTAGTATCAGCAGAACAATTCAGGCATCACTAGCGTCAATATAAAACATGTTACGAGAGACACAAAAGTAGTGTTGCCATGGGCTGCGGTGAAATATCCAATGTGGTAATAATAAGAGTACAGCAGTTGGGTTCCAGAAGTAAATATCCCATTCATTTTCTCCATAGGGGAACTGATTTTGAACAATAACTTATTAGGTTGTTAATCAATGGTATATTTTTTGTTGAAGTCATCAACTGCATTATTTCAACTTATAAAAAAAAAAAAAGTTTAACAGCTACATTTCTTGTGGAAAAACTACATTACCCATAATTCCGAAGAGAAATCCACCAATCAGAGAATAACACCATCTCTACACTGGACGCGTGCCACAACAGCTAAAGTCTGTCTACACTGGACTAGGGCTGTCAAAATGGCTGAAAAACTAAATTCGAATTATATTCGAATTTAAAACGCATACCGCTTGCATGCAGTTAGGGTGAAAAAAAGCTTTTGGCTTCTCTTCTGAGGCCACAAGAGGGCGCATCGAGCAAAATATTACTAATGCACGTTTATTCAGTAAGATAACATGACCAGTGTTGGGGGTAACGCATTACAAGTAATGTGAGTTACGTAATCGGATTACTTTTTTAAAGTAACTAGTAAACGCATTACTTTTTAATTTACAAGAAAATATCAGTTACTTTTTCAAAAAAGTAACGCCAGTTACTTTGTTTTCCCATTTATTGACTGACGAGTCTCCTGTCCCCATATTGGGAGAAATCAGGAGTACAGAGGCATTGTGTGCACTGTGTGAACATGATGTAGTTCTAGACTAAATGTGAATGTGCATTAATTCATCCCACTCACAAAAAAACAGATTTAGTATTCAAAATGAATTAAAACACTGAAACACAAACTCAGAATATGACGCAAACCTGCAATAATTACATGTTAAATAACACAAATGTATCTAATCCCATTTTATTAACCAATGTCTTTGCTGCTGACCTTTGATGATCCAGTTCAACCATACTAATAAGCAACAATTGTGCTTCATTGTTTTTTTTATTGCTGAAGAGTGTTTCTTCTCCTGCGTTCTACTGTACAGACGTGAATTTACTTTTGCTTCAGCCTGAGGTTTATTCATTACACTTTTTGGTGTGAAAGGGCTTTTATATTTGCTATAAATAGAACTTCTTATATTAAAAACAATCAAGCCCTGCTCACATTTAAAAAGTAGCGCAAAAGTAACGTAACATTACTTTCCATAAAAAGCAACTAAGTAACGTAATTAGTTACTTTTTTAGGGAGTTATGCAATATTGTAATGCATTACTTTTAAAAGTAACTTTCCCCAACACTGAACACGACTATCTGTTAAGTTGCTTAAACAACTATAAACAAAACAGCATCATGTATTTATTAGGGATGCACGATATATCGGCCACCATATCGGTATCGGCCGATAAATGCTCATTTTTTCTGTTATCGGTATCGGCCTGATAAGAAAATTTGGCCGATATCTTAAAGCCGATAAATAATGCATTATTTCCTTCAGAGACACTTCAGATGCGCGCTGTTCGTTTGCAGCCTTTTGTGCAATTGTACGTTGTAATATTGTGTTTATTTGATGTATATCTGATGTATCTCATATAGAATGCGTTTGGTAAAGTTAATGTATGCATAATTTAATACAAAGGGCAGAAAGCCAATCACACAGAATACATTTTTCATTTAAAAACATGAGATGCAGTGGATGGGGAAAAAACCCGCCATGAAGTCTCGATATATGTTTTTTTTTTAAAGTTAAACCTACATTAATTTTACATGGCTTTCTCTTTTGTGCAAGTTGCGAGTGCAACGGTGATGTATGTCCCTCTAGAAAATGTGCGAAATATGCGTTCTGTGTGTACGGCTTGGTTTCAGTTTTGACGCAAACAAGATCTTCTCCGCATTGATTGTTCTCTTTTTCCGAAATATTTTTAATGAACAACGCAATGCAGTGGCTTCAACTGGATAGGCGAACAAAAACATTAAAATGTAATGACACTTACATCGTCATCGCATCTTGTGCGCAACTGATAAGGCTGCCTGACGCACACCTAAAATTCGAATGCAACGTTTTTGCATTCGAATGTGGATTTTTATTTTAAATTCAACGAATATTCGAAATTCAAAATTTTTTTTTGACAGCCCTACACTGGACGCACAAAGCGACCGTTAAAAATTATTTGAAATTTGTGTCAGTATGTCATAAATAGAACGATTAGAATATTGTTTATCTCCATCTCTATAAAATTTACATCTTTAAATCTTTTTAAAAAAAAAAAAAAAAAAAAAGTGTCATTGACAATGCTAAATTAAAGCGGGTAAGTACAGAGTTTTGTAGTTTGGCCATTTTGTCAAATTTTCCAAGTACCTTTTGCTTCAAATCAAAGTTTGTAATGTTATGATTCACCTCGTAGCAGGTTAGTATGGTTTACTACTACTAACTCTTTAAAGGGGTCATAAGATGTTGCTAAAAAGAACATTATTTTGTGTATTTGGTGTAATGAAATATGTTTATGCGGTTTAAAGTAAAAAAAACATTATTTTCCACATACTGTACATTATTGTTTCTCCTCTATGCCCCGCCTTTCTGAAACGCATCGATTTTTACAAAGCTCATCGGTCTCATCGGCAAGCTATCCAGTGCGTTGTGATTGGCCGAATACCTCAAGCATGTGACAGAAATGTTACGCCCCTTACCATACTGTGATGATGCCCTGTCCGGCCGGAGCGACGAGACGAAAACATTAAAACCCATTATAAACGAGGCATTTGTTGCATCCAGTGGGGACATAATTACTGATTATAATGACTTACTGTCTTTTTATGCATTGCGTTGCATTGCGTTGCATCGCGCCGCGTAAACATAAAACTCTGTCTGCATTTATGATCGGAGAAATGACAAACAACAAGCGCTACTCTACACTGCTCAAAACTCGCGTTTGAATCATCAGTGGCAAATCCTTTAAATGAAAACGTACTTGCGTGAGTCAGAACAGCCGGCATTTTAGTCTAACGTTACTCTCCCAGGATCAGGAAACAGTCCTCCATAAAATGCTTCCCAATCCCAACTCCTGCTGCCTGTCATCATGTGACAGAATGTGTTTAAAAGGTCAGATAGCATGTGGTTTTTCAATACCTTAATTTATATTAGTTATATTCACGTTCACTGTATAAATAGCTTCGGTATTAATTTAAATGATTAAATAATTTTACGCGAACGTTTATTTTTCCTATTTATATACTGTTTCGTTGATACATTATTATGCAAAATCAGTATTTATGTCCTCAAAGAACAAATAATGCACTTCTGCAGTTTCTCAGTAAGTTGCAACTATCCAAACTGCGTAGAGGTGTAATGCAATTCGCAGTCCATTGTTTTCTATGGGAAGGTCATGGCTTTTAGTCAGTGACCACAAGGTGTCGCCATTTCTCTGGAGGTGTAGCGAGCGCTCATCATTTGCGTCTGTAACACCAGACTCTTACTTAGTAGGTTTTCCTTGCATTACATCTTAAATTACATTTATGACTTTATCAATCAATCAATTGATCTAAAAACATATTTGCAATCTCAAAACATTTGGCTCTGGAGATGCACAAAACCTGTTATACATACTTAATATTTTAATGAATTAATTCCGTTAAATGCAAAAATACAGTTGCAGTGCATTTAGCTGATTGTTCCAGAGTAGTCCACTTTTAACAGTGATAATGTTGTTGCCAAATTTTGAAAAAAGAGAAAAATTCAGAAAATATTCTCAGGAGAGATAATGATAAAAAATATTGTCCCCTGTAAATTATAATTTAACAGATTAAAACCTAAAAAACAATTCACATGTTCACATCTTTAGGCCTAGTCTAATCTCTGTTACTCATGTTGGATATAACCATATTTTTTTTCAAGCTTTAATTAAATTAAACAAAAACATATATCCTCACAATGAACATCCCGTAAATGATGCAAGTAAGCCTAATAACCATATATACATAACAACAATGATCCAGTATTACATAACACTGTGCTTAACGCCGTAAAAAACTCTGTGCTAATTCTAAAAGCATTTTTGATTGATCAGATATAAAGAGCTAAATGAAAGAGAACTTAAAAGAGAGCAGGAGATAGTACATTATTATACTGCCTAAATAGTCCATAGAAAAATACATATTGTGATATTTTACATATTGTACATCTGAGTGAAACAGAAAAAGAAACATGTAAGGCAGAGAATTGGGTCTGTCTGTCGGTTGTTGACTGGATTTGAGATGTGGGCATTGCATTCAAAAATGAACGTGAGCTTGGAGTCAGTTGTGGAGGGGCGGGGTTTAAGAACCTAAATAATTGGAGAGGTCTGGCCTACGTCACCAGAGAGAAGATTATTGTTTTCTCCATCACAAGGACAAAACGGGTGAATAGGTTAAAAATGGAAACATCTCCAAACTCTCCCCAGTTAATTAATAACTGTACATTCAGACAACTGTTTTGCATGACAAGTTTAAAATGTTTAAGAACCAAAATGTGAACATTGGGTAAAGCCAGACTTAACATTCCTCTTTCATGTTATTGACATATTGGTTTTTAGATAGGTGATATCTCTTTATCGCTTTATAGATCAAAAATACTGTTATCAGCAAGGGCAAAAAAGGGGGAAAAAATACAAATCAAGTGAATGTTATATGAACAATCCCTTCTTTAAAAAAATAGAAAGAAAAAGAAAAGAACTTCAGGAATATAGATAGAAATAAACCGGACATTTTGGTGTAAGTGCTGCTGAAGTGGAGATTTCTGGCGCAGTGCAGGAGAAATAAACTCATTTTAAGAAAATTACTTTTAAAGATATGTATTATAATTCAAATCTACACATGCAAATGGATAACATGTAATACGCATAACATAAACACTCAAATGCTTATTTTGGATGTTTTCTTTTCAATAGACTGAAGGAAGACAAGTTATGGAAGCAAAATAATCTCAAAATTCTGGGACCAGTACCTGAAAAAACACTGATTTTTCTATAGTGTCTCGCCTTAAAAAATGAAACTTATATATGGATGAATCATTCACAATAAGATCTATACATTGCATTTACAAAATAGAAAGAGTGAATTTTTATCTTGTGCAACTAATTTAAGGTGAAGTTTAAAACAAATGTCCCTTTTTGGAGGAGATATCGATGTACATGTATGTGTATTTACACATGTTTATGGTCATCATTTTTAACGACTTTACCTTATAATTGTATATAACATGATACAACCCCAGGACATTATGTGAACTCATCTG